GCCGCCCGCCCGCCCGCCGCCGCCACGCGCCTCCGCCGAAACCGTACCGCAGTCTCGAGTGAGCTCCTCGCCCGACGAGCGCGACCGCGCGCGCGCGCGAACACAAGCGCCAGCGCCCCCGCCCGCCGCCGCCGCCGCCGCCATCCGCGGCGGTGAGGGGCGCGGCGGCGCCGAGCGGTTTCGCGCCGGCGTCGAACCACAGTGCGCCGGGGGCGTACTTCGTGCCGCCGGAGTCGACGTGGACGGCGCCGCGGTTGCTGCGGCGTGAGACCGATGAGTCAGCGCTGGAGGCGGCGATGCACCGGAAGCGTTCGAGCGCGTCGGTGGGTGCGGGTATGGGGGTGACTGTGGGCCCTGGGTCGGGTATGGGTATGGGGATGGGTATGGGTGGTTCCGGGATGGGTATGGGTGGTTCCGGGATAGGTATGGGATCTGGGTCGAGCACGGGCCCTGGTCAGTTCAACTACGAGGCGACGATCCACTTGATGTTTAGCGAGTTGACGACGAAGTTGCGGCGGACGGAGAAGGAGAACAAGAAGTTGCGGCAGGAGTTGGCTAAGTTGCAGCAGGAGGGGGCGCAGCGAAATGAGGAGTTGGTGCGTTTGCGGAGCGAGAAGAGTGCGCTGGAGGCTGAGCTGGCGGAACGAGAGCGAGGGGCGGTGACTGAGTTGGAGACGTTGGCGGAGACTAACGATTTTCTGCAGATGAAGTTGCGGGGCCAGAAGGGGTTGGCGCAGGGCATCGAGAGCGTGTTGAGTGACCTGTCAAGTTACGCGACGGACCGGCTGCGATATGCCCCGGACTGCGACATCGTGCGCGACCTGGGTGCATACGTGAAGGGTTGCTGTTCTCGCGGCTTCGACTTCTTGCGTTCAGCCGTCTATCAAATGTCGCTCGACCACGACCCACTCTACGACAACAGCCCTCGGCAGAATCGACCCACGCCGCCCTACGGTTCCGAAACCAGCCGCTACCTCGGCAACCGACTCAGCCGAGCCACCGGAGACGAACCTCCACGACACCTCCACCGCCTACCCGCACGACGAAACGAATCCGGCTTCGACGACAACAGCTCCTTCGGCTTCGAAGACTCCGCACGAAGCTACGGCCTCAACCAACGTAGGAAACACCTGGCCAGCACCCAATCCACCGCAGCCACACCACCTCACCCAGGCCCCGCCTTCCGCACCAACGCCGAACGCGGCGACCGACTCGTCGCTGGCGACCGAGGAAGTCTCGCGGGTGGCGACCGACTCGGCGCTGGCGACCGAATAAGTCTCGCCGCTGGCGATCGAATGAGTCTCGCCGCTGGCGACCGAGTGGGCCTTGGTGAGAGAGCGGGCCTTGGAGAGCGAGCGGCAACACGTCCCTGCGCCGCATTCCTGCACCAGTGCCTCTTCTGCAACCAGCTCGTTACAGGCCTGCCGTACCTGCGTGGAACTGCGTCCGCCTACCGACGAGAAGCGCGCAACCCCTACCTCACCGTCGACAACAAACTACTCACGCCCGCCGCCAACGGAGAGCAAATGTGGACCCCCGGCAGCGCCTTCGCTTCCTCGGCGGCAAACGGCCTCCACGAACCGCCCTACAATTCCCGGCTTCGCTGAACCGACTGTCGTCGCGGCCAGCTGTCGCGACGAAAAAAGGTGGTGTCGGTGGGGTGCTGTCGTTAGCCGGGGGAAGCCGGGACACTGTGGGGGCGGCCGCTAACGCCCATCAAGACAATGCCATCGTGGAAGCGGCGAGGCGCAGCTTGTTTTTACAATCGGACATCCATAGCTAGCTAGTTAGTCTTGCCACCGTTGCGAAGGAGGTCCAGGAATGCCTCTAGGCACTCCCGACGGGACAAAACACGCTGGCCGCCCAAATTTTTTTGTGGAGGGAAGTTCTGTCGGAAAACATGCCCACCAGGTAACTTGCAATCCCAACTTCCCCAATCCGACCCTCCAAGCCGGCAATGTACTGAAGACGTCCACGTTGCGGCGCCCGGTGCTGAAGCCCATGTGGCGTGGTATGGGTGCCGCATTTGTACATTACACCAGTCCATGCGTGGTACACCAGTCGTGGTGATTTATCTCTAATAATTACCGTGCTGTGTTGTGACATTTCCTTGTTTCAGGTTCAAACAGTCTCGCAAGCTCCGCGGCCACGTGTCTGGCGGTTATGGCCGTGTGGGCAAGCACCGCAAGCATCCTGGCGGGCGCGGTAACGCCGGTGCTGAGCACCACCACCGTATCAACATCCAGCGGTACCATCCGGGATACATTGGCAAGCACGGCATGCGTCAATTCCACCGTGTAGCGACGCACCACTTCTGCAAGACACTTAACGTCGTGGAGCTCTGGGGACTCATGACTGAGGAAGAGCAGAAGCGCTTCCAGGCCTCCGGTGAAACTCCCGTCCTTGACGTTACCCGTGCCGGCTACCGCAAGGTTCTAGGTAACGGACCCGCCCTCACTCGCGCATTCGTCGTTCGTGCTCGAGAGTTCTCCAAACTCGCCAAAGAGAAAATCGAGGCCGCCGGCGGCAAATGCATTGTCATCGGCCAGGATGCTGAAGCCTGCAAGCAACACTAAACATTTTTATACCAACCTTTCGACAACCTTCCACAGAACCGCCCTCAATCGGATGACCAGAACCGCCCTCAATCGGATGACCAGAACCGCTCGGGACACTACTACTTACATGGTTACATAGTGACTTCGGTGTTGTTTGACAAACGAATGGTGAGCTAGCTGGTTGACGAACTGGTGACGAGCTAGTTCATCTACCCTGGTTTGACCTACCCTAACTAACAAAGCCCGTTACGGGCGTTGTCGGGCTGCATCCCACCTAACTGACACACGTTGTCAAGCTGCATTCTCACACGGCATTCTCAAGCGACAAAAATCTAACCAAGCACCGTGCTAAAAGACCGTGCTGGGTAACCGTACTCTAAAACCGTATTCATAGGCACACGCACTACGCCGCCGCTCACACCAAGAGGTCGTCAGGACCGGTGTATCCGAACCACGGATGCTTCCCTTTCTCCGCGCTACCTTCAGCAACCTCTGCTGCCTCATCCTGACTAACAGCTTCGGGGGCGTCTTCGGCCACTGCTTCGGTGGAGAACGATTCTCCGTCCTTCTGGTCACTAATTTCAGGAGCCTCTTCGACCGCTGGTTCGGCGGGGAACGGTTCTTCATCCTTCTGGTCTTCATCCTTCTGGTCTTCATCCTTCTGGTCTTCACCCTTCTGGTCAGCATCGGCTTCGGAGGCTGCTTCGCCCAGGAACGATTCTTGGTCCTTCTGAGGAGATTCTTCGTCCTCTTTGGGTAACGTTTCTTCGTCCATCTGGTCCACAACTTCGGGGGAACCCATTGTATCTCTGTGGGTCATCTCATCGGGCGACGCTAGAGTTTCGCGAGCCGGATGGTGTTCAGACGTGGGGGTCTTCTTACGAATGCCCATCGCCTTTCGGAAGCGATGCCTAAGACGTTTGAAAAATCCTTTCTTTTTCGGCTTCTGCTCGCCTTCGGCCTTCCGCCCCTTCTTGCGCCCAAACAGCCCCTTGCGTCCAAACAGCCCCTTCTTGGGTTTAAGCCTGCGTCCAAAGAATCTGCGGCGTCGCTGCGGTGTATTCTCGCTACCAGCCTCGCGGGCTTGGACTTGATCGTCGGAGACCGCGACTTGGTCGCCCGCAGGCTGAAAGTCCTGAGACTGAACAGCCGGAGACTGAACGTCAGAAGACTCATCAGTCCCTGACATCCAAGCGTGCGCCGGCAACGAAGGACGCCGTTGAATTTTCGCGCTCCCAGGCTGTCTGTCCGAAGACTGACCGTCCAAAGACCGGGCCCGAGAAGATCCGCCCCCCTCCATCCAAGCGGGCTTGGGGAGTGGTAATGAACTACGGCGCTGACGTTCTCCGTTTGCAGACTGTCCGTCAGAAGATAGAGCCTGAGAAGACTCGGCCCTTCTCATCCAAGCCCGAAGGGGCTTCGGGGGTGATGCAATTTCCTCCTCCGAAGAGCCACCGTCCAAAGACCGAGCCCGAGAAGACCTGGCCCGCTTCATCCACGTGGGCTTGGGGAGTGGTAATGAACGACGCCGCTGACGTTTTCTGTCAGCAGACTGGCCGTCAGACGATTGAGCCCGAGAAGACTCAGTGCCTGTCATCCAAGCGCGCGGGGGCTTCGGGAGCTCAGAAGCCAACGGCAGCTGATATTCTTCGTCCGCAGATTGGACCGGCCCGGCTTGGCCGTCCAAAAACTGAGTCTGAGAAGGTCCGTTCATCGAAGCCGGTGAGGACATGGGCCTCACGTACGGGGGAAGTGGTGGCAGGTGCTTAGTTTGTTTCTGCAGTTGCGTTTCGTGCTTCATCAGCACCCTCTCCAAGTTGCTCACACGCTCGGGGGCCAGAAGACTCACGGGTCTTGATCGCGCCGGAGCGGGGAGCGGTACGTCCTCGCTCGTTTTCACGTACGACGGGATTGATGACAACGGTTTAATCCGTTTCTGCACTACCGTATCGTGCTTCCCCACGTCTCCTCCCAAGAAGTCCAAGCGAGCTCGGTCCAGGGTACCCACGCGCCGCCCGCCAGATGGCTTCACGTACGACTGCTGGGCGGCCCTCATGAGATCTCTCTTCCGCTGCTCAATCAGCGAGACCGCCGGTGGGTCCGGCTCAATCGCGCCAACGCCCTCAGTATCACGTTGGACAAGCGCCCAAGTCGACACAATCACACACAACCACTTCATACCTTCGCACCTTGCACCACCAGGACGCGCACCCGGCCCCCCAACACCCCATATCCCAGCCCCGCAACACCGAGTCTAAGGGAGAGAGTAACAATAACTGTGTTGGTGCTGGCTGTATTGATAGGACGAAGCATTAGAGGAAAAAAATATCAATTCTCCAAGAGGTGAAGTTCTTCTGGGCCCGGCTCGCGCATAGCGAGCGGCAGTTTTGGGGAAACGGGTATTCTCCTTCGAATGCCCCGTCCGAGCTTCTTAAAGCCCAGGCGAGTGCGGCCCCATAGCCCTTTTTTCGCCTTGGGAGGCAACTGCACTTCCGGCAGCTCCGCTTCCGGCTCACTCATCACTTCCGGCTCACCCATCGTGGCCATGTCTCTGCGGGGCCGGCGTCGAAAAGCATTGCGGCGGTAGAGGGTGCTCTTGGTTTCACCCTTGGGCCACGCCTTGGTAATGCCTCGCAAAGGATTCTTCATTGCATTCAATACTCCCTGGCGGGCACCGCCGACAGCCTTGGCCACAAAGGCAACTACCAAAATAAGAATCCAACGCATGCTCGCTGATGCACCTCAGAGGAGCCGAAGGTGCGACCTCCCCCGAGGTGCGAGACCTTTATCTCCTCGTAGGGCAGTGTGGTGGCTGTCACTGGGTAATATTCGAGACAGAACAGACTGACACAAATCGGGCGCAAAAAAAGCTCTCGGCTTTTTAACCTTCGCAGGGTCTTAAAATGGGTCGCGTTACAAGGGGTAAGAAAGACGCCACAACTCACACACGTTACGACTGTGCCCGGCGCGCGAGTTGCGTTGCCCAAGAAGTACGAGTTTTGTTTTAGGACAGAGAAAGGGCGCCGGTTCCATCTTCCGCGCACACACGCACGGCCGCGTGGGTGCCGCTAAGTTACGCGCTGCGGACCGTGCGGAGCGTCATGGCGCGATCCGTGGGATCGTGACAGACATTGTGCACGACTCTGGTCGCGGTGCGCCGTTGGCAAAGGTCGCGTTCCGTTCGCCCATCAAGTACCAGACTGAGAAGCAGTTGTTCCCGGCTGTGGAGGGTATGTACACGGGGCAGTCGATTTACTGCGGTGTGCGAGCCAACTTGGTCCCGGGCAACGTGTTGCCCTTGGGTAAGTTCCCTGAAGGTGCCGTGGCTTGCAACATTGAGCGCCACTTCGGTGACCGCGGTGCCATCGCGCGCGCGGCCGGGACCTACTCCATCATCGTCGGCCACAGCGAGGACGGCGTCAAGACCCGCATCCGTATGCCCTCAGGCGCCAAGCGCTCCATCCGCTCCAACTGCAGAGCCCAAGTCGGTCTCATTGCCGGCGGTGGCATCACCGACAAGCCTTTGCTCAAGGCCGGCGCCGCCTACCACAAGTACAAGGCCAAGAGAAAGTGCTGGCCCCGTGTTAGAGGCGTCGCCATGAACCCCGTCGATCACCCCCACGGTGGTGGTAACCACCAACACATCGGCCACCCCTCCACCGTCTCGCGACACGCCCCCGCCGGTCAGAAGGTCGGCCTCATTGCCGCACGCAGGACCGGTCTCGTTCGCGGAGGGCGTATCATCAACCAGAAGGAAGACTAACTTTTTCCACCAACCATGCTCCCAGACCCTTCTACCCGAAGCCGACTTCACCTGCGTCACCGTCACCCGAAGCCGACTTCACCTGCGTCACCGTCACCTTTAGCGCCCTCGCAGTAGGACGCAGGAAACGGAAGAAGAGAAGAGGGTGGGATTGCGGGGCCAAAAAGGGAGAGGTTGGGGGGGGGATGAGGGGGAATGTTTCTGGGTTAGTAGTTCCGGGTACTTGGGTCAGTAGCTTCGGGCACCCGAACTTCCTCGCAAAAAAGACCCCGCAAGGTGAGTAGTAATTTGGGGAATACGGGCTTTTGGGAACGCAATGTTGGGACTAAAAACGACTCATTGACATAGTTATATAGGGGCCATGGTTTTCACCATCTCGTCCTCGAAAGCGGTGAGGGCGGACAAGACAATGGGGTTCATATTTTTCATCGCCTCTTCGCCAAACAGGAAATGTCTATGTTGCAGCGCTGCCTCTTGCTTCACGCCGGACGCTGATGGCTGCGGCGGCGCTAGGTCCTCTGGCCCCGAGCCGCTCGTGGCTTCTGGCTCTTCCTTCATGAGAGCACTCGCGCGCTCGGTCAGGACGGGCTGGAAGGGGGGCGGGCCGACATCGTCGGCGGCGGTGGCAGCGACGTTGCGCGTGAGGAGGGTGGGCGTGTCTAAGCGGAAGGGGCCCCTCTGTTCGTCCAGCTTTCGGCGGACTATATCTTCAGCGATTTTCAACTGGTGGCGCTGGTAGGTGTCGCCTCCGTCGTCGTAGGGGTCTTCTTCCGTGGCGTCATCCTGGAAGTATTGGCCCGCATCTGCGTCTTCGAAGCGCCTGTCAAACGGCCGCTGGTCGGGCACCAAGTCCTCGGTAGGCGGGGCGAGAATGATGTTGTCCACATCTGCCATCAACAGGGCCGGCGTTTTCCGCGGCCGTCCTGGCCCCCGCTTTATTGCATTCGGGTCCGGTAACGGCCTTATCCGCGGCCGCCCGCGTCCCCTCTTTATCACCGGCACGTCAATCGGATATTTTCGAGGCCGTCCCCTCGGCCTCTTCACCACGGTAACATCCGGGGGATGTTTCCGAGGCCTTCCGCGACCCCTCTTCACTACTACCTCCGACATTTTTCTTTTTTTTTTAAATTCAATTTCCATAATTTGGACACACCGCGCGACAATTCACACAATAAACACGCAATCGCGTGCGCGCGCCCCAAACCCCCTCAACCCCGCGGCTGTGCCCACTGGGCTGCTCTGCCACCCATTTTAATATAATTATCTTTTTGAGGCATTAAAAATCAGCGGATGGGGAAGGGCACCACTTGATCGCCAGATCAAATCCGGGGGAAACACTATGCTGGGAACCAGGGCCCCTGCCGGGGCAAACCGGAGCCTGTGGGGGCAATAAATGGGCCAGAGTTTGAATTTTGACTGTTTGTATTTCGGATTGAAAGAACTTCCATAACGAAATTCTTTCAACTCTGAACAAACTTCTTGAGCGAGCAAACGAATCCTGGTGTGCGGCAAGTGAATTTTCCTGGTGTGTGGCAAGTTAATTCTCCTGGTGAGTCGCAAGTTAATTTAATTCTCCTGGCGAGTGGCAAGTTAACCTCCTGTGCGTCGCACCCAAGCAAGTTAGTGCACGGCACGAGAGCTGGTGTTCCTAAAAGCTTTTCGTGAGTTGCAATCAAGTGCACGACAACAAGATGGTGTCGCATAATATAGCTGTTCAGACGGCGGCATTAACATCAGTAATGTTAATGTGTGCTTTTATATGTGGTCATTTGATTAATATCTCTAAGTTGAGGAATATACCACAATCTACAGCTGGAATATTGATCGGTGCATTTTCTGGTTTGCTAATATTCTATTGGAATCCAAAGTTATTTGGTAACAAATCGCTGTTGAATTTTAATCCGGAATTATTCTACATGTTTATGTTACCCCCTATAATATTGGAAGCAGGATTTTCTATGGATCGAATTAACTTCATCAAGAATTTCCATTCTATTATGTGGCTAGCTATAGGTGGTACTTTACTATCTGCTATTTTAACGGCTGCAGGGTTGTACATACCGCATTTACTTTCATCAGATTACGGCTTCTTTGAAGGTAGTCTTACAGAAAAACTGTTGTATTGTACTCTATTGGGCACCTTATTGGCCGCAGTGGATCCGGTTGCTACGCTTGGTGTTTTGGGTGGCAGTAGGTTTGAAGCCAACGAAAAACTATTCTCTATTGTATTTGGCGAGAGCTTACTGAATGATTCGGTTTCTATTGTTCTCTTTAGGACCCTCGTTAAATCGGCACCAATCCTCGTGTCTACGGACTCCCCTCATCCCTGGAAGCTATTGACAACCGTACGTGCTCCTGATCTCACCCCGCGCGCGTTGCCCTCGCGCGCGTTGCCCTCGCGCGCGTTGACCCCGATTTCTGTGTTGTAGACGCTACTAAGTTTTATGTACGTTACTTTGATATCGTGCATCATCGGAGCGGTTACGGGATTGATCGCGTACTTGGCATTTCGTTTGGCGGGTGGAATACAACGCTTCCCAGAGTACGAATTGGGAGTATTGTTGTTGATAGCATATTTCTCGTTTTCGGTAGCCGAGATGGTGGAGGGAAGTGGCATCGTATCGTTGTTCATCACGGCGGTGTTGTTGGGACACTACAACATCAAGAACCTGAGTCTGACGTCGCAACGATCATCCGTGCTGCTGTTTAAGGTGTTGTCGGTGTTCAGCGAGTCATTCATTTACTTACTATTCGGTACGGTGTTTACCCGGAGCGTAATTGCACACGCGCAGTTCGATCTGGCGTTAGTGGCTTGGACGACGGCGCTGCTGATGCTCTCGCGCGGCGCAGTGGTGTTCCCGTCTGCCGCAATCATCAACGCGCTGGAGCGCAAGCACAAGAGCTATGCGGAGGAGCAGAAGGAGACGCAGGTGATTGCGGGCGCGTGCATGCACGCAGTGTTTGAGAAACACCTGACCTCGCGCTACACACCTTTGGCCAAGTCGCTGTGCGCAACCGAACGACCGACCCAGGATAACTCTTCGTCGCCGTACACCCAGTTCGACGACGAGGACGAGCTCGAACTCGACAGCCGCGCCGGCTCCTCTCGCCCCTACCGGCCCGGCGAGGCAAAGGCCGGTGCCGCTGGCCGCGCGCTGCTGGGCGAGGTCACGCCGCCCGGCAAAGCCTCGCGGACCGCCGCGCTCCCGCAAATCGCCGAACATGCGAGCTACGACATCAACGTCGTGCCACAGTCGCCGCGCGCGTCGGTGATGGAGGCGCCCGCGCCCGTCTGCGGTGACGTGGCGCTTCTCGGCGCCGGCCCGAGCGAGCACCTCTCGGTCTCGCGCGGCGGCGTGGCCTTCCGCCCCCCGTACGTGGAGCGCACCTCCTTC